GTCGCAGGTTCCGCCATTCTTGCAGTCGACCGAGTTGCACGGGTCCCATTTGGTGGTTGGGGTGGGCGTGGTGGTGATACGAGTCTCGCACTGGGACCCGGAGTAGCCATCCTTGCAGTCACAGTACGCACGACCGTTGGAAATGCGGCAGGTACCGCCGTTTTTGCAAGTGTGCGAGTCGCAGGGGTTAGGGGTGGTGGTGGGAGCCCGTGTAGTGGTGGTGGTGGTGGTGGTGGTAGGGGCGCGGGTGGTGGCGGGGGCGCGGGTGGTGGCACCAGCGTCGCACTTTTCATACATGACGGCGACATAATCAACGACAAACCACTCATTTGAGGGCCGAAGTTCGCTCTCCACTCGAAACTTGATGGTGGTGACGGCATCTGCGTAGGCGGAGATGTCGTAAGTCTTGATAAAGGTCTTGCTCTTGCCGCACCAGCTGACGTCAAAGGTCTCAATGCGCTTAAAAGAGTGGGAGCCCTTGCGCACGTAGAGGGCGGCTTGATCCCCTGATTCTACATCTCCCTCAAAGTGGAACTTGACCTCGATGCGAGCGTCCTGAGTGTTTGACAAGTCGACGGTTCGCGTGATTTTGGGGCCACCTGCTCCAGAGGCGGGCCCGGTGAGGGCAAGATCTCCGTCGAAGATGCGGACCAACCCGGAGCTGGGACCACCGTGTTCTGGGTCGGATTCCTGCCAGTCTGAGGTCCAGCTGACTGTTCCATCGTCGTTACTGTAGCTGCAAGCTTCAAAGTTGTCAATGATGTGCTTGGTGACGCACCTGCCCGTCTCGGGCTCGTTCTGACAGTAGAGACCGGTGTAGCCCGTGGGACAGGTGCACACCACGCCCAAGAGGTTTGAGCTGCACGTTGCACCGTTTTGACACGGGTTGTACCACGCACAAAAGAGATTGTCGCTACCATAGGTTGCCTGTGGCGGGAGAGTGATTGATACTTGTGAGAGGCACGTTTGCGATCATCATTGTGGTCTTGTCCTTTGTGATTGCCCAGGGCAGCAATGCTTTCACAGTTTGCAGGTGATCAATCGTACCGTGGCAGGTTGTGGGGCCGAGAAAAGAAGCAGTCCGGCCAGTGCCAGGCACCCAAGCGTCGAAAAGGGACGCATGGTTGCGGCTCTTGTGGGCTTTTGGAGGTTGAATCTCTTGGAGCACTCCTAGCCGAGTTTGTCCGTGGGATTGGATGTCACAGCACGTGTGTTTCTGTTTGGAGCGTGATTAAAGCAGCTGTGGGAGGAAGGGGATTGAGATTGGCAGGGCAAGACGCGGGGATTACAAAGAGTGCTTTAATACACGGTTGGGGTAGCAGGGATTGCGTGTTGCACCAACCTCGGGGAAAGAGGCAGAGCGAGCCAGGAGAAAAGAGCAAACAGTAGATCAGGTCGAGGTGTATGGAGAAGGCAGAGGTACCCACTCGACGTGTTGGTGAGATCAAAGCTGGGACAGCAAAGGGGGTAGGG